GGGAAAATCTTCAAGACATGATTGAAAAAATAAAAAAATCATTTGAAGAAATTCAAGCACATGAAATCAACGAGTCAATGCAGCGGTGCAGAAATGAAATATGGCGACGAGCTTTTGCAAGAGAAGATTTATAATTTCTTATTGTTGGCTTTTTGTTAAAAATTTTTTATTTTTAATAAACAATTATTCATTGTTTTGTTATAATTATAAAAATAAAAATTCACTATAATTGATTTGGTGACGAAATAATTAAAAAATAAGTGGATTAATTATAAATGCAAATGTATTTATTAGTGTTCTGACTGATTTATTTTTGTGCCGTTTGATTTATTTGTGAAACTCGAATTATTTTGTTTTTGTTATTTTTTTCTCTTTTTCCGTGTGATTTATTTAAAGTGTTAATACAATTTATTATAATTTCCAAATTAATAAAAATTATGAAAACAGTTTTATTAAAATGCATAAAAAATTATTTAAAATGCCGGGTAAAGGATCTGAAGTGAATACCACTGTAATCATAATTGGGCAAATTTTAACCTTTCTCAAAATTCGCCAAATTTTAAGGTTTATATAATAATGGCAAATGGCTATAATTCAATTCAGGTCACTAATTCTCTGTACTGTAATTTCAAAAATAGTGTTGGAGGAAAAAAGTCCTGCTAATAAGGAAAAATAGTAATGAAATCAATTTAAACTAAACGTTGAAAAAACATTCATTTTTTTACAAAAAAACAAATTTTTTGTATGTAAAAAATTTGTATGTAAAAAACTCTTAAACCAAAATGAAATAGTTTTTTGTTATAATTTATTTTCTTTATCGAGCCAGATTTTTTCCTCCAACTCTATAGTTCATAAAAATAATATTATGTATATACAGTTGACCAAGTAATTATCAGAGACCAAATAATTGTCAGAAGAATGTCTTTCCCATTGATTACCTTGAAAATAACGGGTTTGAGAAGTGAAAAAAAAATACACCAAAAAATGGTAAAAAACTTAAATTTATTTTTATAATAGTTCTTATCTAAAATTTTAAAACTATTAATTATACTTCCTACAATTATTTGGTCTCTGAGTATTTTTTTGTCAACTGTATATAAACAAATAAAACAAATTCAAAAAGCCATAAATTACTTTTCTTTAATTGTCAATTTTTTTAATGCTTTTTTAGACCCTCCAAACTTTTTGATTTTGTTTGCAACAACTTCTTTAATATTAACCCGTTTAAAATTAAATGTGTTGATGTTATTCATCACAAGTTTGTTGACTGAAACGCCTGCATTAAAATTTATTTCTTCGACATCCCCAGTGATAATTTCGTCAAACATCCCACAATTGAAACTTACATTATTTTGGTTGCCAATAATTATTGAGGGGTTTGAAGTGTCCATATTGACAAAAATGGACTTGTAAAATGACAGTTTTGATATGTCTACAATCGATTGAAATCCACCTACAACACATTCATTCATACCATCTACAATGTTCAGTGTTAGAGACTTCGCATAAAATTCATTTGATGTTTTGTCACCTTGTTGAATCACAAATTTATTTGGGATATTCTCGTTGATCACACACGTCGTCAATTTTGCCATATCAACAATTAACGCATAGCTTTTCGTGAGTTTGAGTCCAAAGTCAATTTTGTCGAGTGCATTTGTTGTTGATACATATTTGAGACAATCATTTGGCACGTTTATTTTTTTGCCTTTATAATTAGAGACAATTATTTTGATGGGATGACAATTACCAAATACTACATCAGCACTTGTATTATACACAGAGATGTTTTTTGCATGTTCGGGAACAATGACACTCCCAGACTTAATATTCGTAATTGTAAGATCTTCTATTGTTACTGAAGTTTTGAGGTCAACAACACCTTTTGGTTTTGCAATAGGTTCACCCTTATTGTTAAAAATAGTGGAACCCCATAATAAAC